ATGGGATGTGGCAAGTGTCAACCATTAGTTAATAATTCCCAGAAGAAGTATGACAAGTATTAGAACCTATGAATACATTAATAGATCCTTTAATATCTTAATAGCAATATAAACATTGTTTTTAATACAGTATATAATATTTTTTATGTAATTGAGAAATTTAATTTGTTTTTTTTTCGTATAACAACGCAATCATGGAAAACAGTAATTAAAATTATAAAATCAACATATCTTTGTAATACGTTGTATGTCATCGCCGCCGAAAGGGTATCGATCGGTTTCTTCGTAAACAAAACATTTTCAAAACTCTTGCTATATTTAAATAAAACCGTATTTCGACCACGGACACGAAAAAAGAACCAATTAATAAATCAAAAGCGCTCTAAACGACTTCCTGTCATTTAATTTCCAATAAAATGCGAAAGTTTTTTGTATGACCTATATTCCTCATAAAGGAAGGGCATATCGTGAATGGAGACCCCCCTTTTTTTAAGTAAAAACTTTTATTCATGAGTTTCCAGCCGTATAGAAAGGAACTGAAACAAAACAACTTGATTATATATTTCATTGTGTTTATCTTGATCTCACTCACACGTCTTGCTTAGTTGAGAAGAGAAATTTTTCTGTTCAAGTTTACTCAAGCCAGGATCTTTAAAACTACCTATTTTACCATATGGAAATTTAATTTAGACCAGGATTCATACTCTTTATTGCTGTTTTTCCGAATACTACCAAAACTATATTTTTTTCTTTTTTGAATATTTCTAGTTTGACCATTTTAAATAATTATAGCATGACATATAGCTTGTAAAATAAAGAGGAATTATTGAAATTACCCAAAATAAACCAAAAAGTTGAGTGTTTAGTAGGAAGTTACTTTATTTCTTTAAGTAAACCAGTTTTAGTTGGTAAACATGTAAAAACACATAAATTTATTTTATTTGATGTTAAAAGTGTGTACATAAATTAACAGAATCATTTTAGAAAATGGAATGGAATTAATATAATTGTTAACACGTGTTGAATAAATGATAAATGAATATCAGTAACAAAAAGTGACCCAATGTACTATAATTTGTTATTTTTAAAGAGAATACCAGGAGTTTAACTAGTATAAGTTGCTTATAGTTGAGGGTTGGAACCTTTGGTGTTACACAGCAAAATAAAAACACTAAATCACCACAATACACCAAAACACTTTTACTATTACACTGGACGCGCGTTTCGCTAACCATGTTAGCATCATCAGCAGATGATTATAAACTAAAGTACAATCTACAAGTTGAGCGTGTATATACTCGCTCAGTGGGCACCGAGTGGGCGTGGTAAAATCTAGCCAACCGAGTTAGAGCCCACTGAGCATAACAGTTAGATTTCCGCCACTAGAGTAGTAGGAACAAAGAACTTGAAGGAATTGGACCGTTGTCTCTGTTCATACTATCTTTACATTTATTAATTCTGATGCTTTCATATGCATCTAATTGCCTGTAATTTAAGACTTGTTTAATTAATTTTAAATTATTAATATCTATACAATGTTCTTTATCAACAATATGTTCGGCAACGCAAGATTTATCCGGTCTACCATATCTTATCTGAGCTAAATGTTCTTTAAATCTAGTTAATATTGATCTTCTAGTTTGCCCAACATATTTTCTCTATTGATTCTCTATTGTAATCAGAAATATGATGATTCTATATTGTAATTAATACACCAGTATTGTGGTGATTTAGTGTTTTTATTTTGAAGTATAAGTTGAATAGTGAAATTATTATACGTTATTTTAGAATTTCGTTACATAATAATCACACTTTTTCTCATTATAATAAATTATTTATTAATATATAGATACATTATAATTAAATTTAGGCATATCCACATAGTAGTATTAAAAAGTTTTGGATGAAAAAAAATAACAGATAAATTTATTATGGGTTTTATTTTGTTCTTTGTTAGTAAATAACTATTACAATATTATTTCAGGGTAGTTTTAATGTTTGTTAGAGAAACTTTTATTTATTTAATAAAATCAATCAATCAATGTAGCTCTGCTAAGCACGTACCTAAACAACAGGAATTTGGTTTGTCTTCCTATTAATAATAAAAATATCGCTGAGGTAACAGAATAAAACAATTTTCGAGGACTAATAAAATTAATTTTCTTTTACTGGGATAAATGTGTTTGGTAAAGAACTATAATTTTATCGAAAGGAATAAATAAGAGCAAATAAAAATTATATTAGAGAAAATAATTTATTACTATTTTTACGGAAAATGTCACTAAAGGACGAGCGCAGGCTATTATAAATGTAATAACTTTTATTTTTCTTGGTTTATATATTTCCAAAAAAGTACTATTTAAAGCAGTCTATAAACAGTTACGACTATAAATAGTTTATTATTTAAATATGTATGGAAAAAAAAATCAAAAAGGCCCTAGAAACATAATAAGTATAGTCATATTACTATGAAAATTTACACCTCTGAAGGTTTAGGTACCTGGCTTTATAAAATAATTAATTATGTAGGTCCTTGTTTTTCAGCTATTTTTTAAGCTTAAAACATCCCCTATATCTATTACTGTTTTCGAAAGACTACAATGGCCTTTCTTTTCTTATTCTACATCTTTTGATTAGTAAATCATAGTATTTTTAGCCAAATTGGTGGCATGAAGAAAATTTCCAATTTTCATGACTATATGTATGGAAAAAACTCGAAAAAGTGCCCAGTTTTTGGCTATTTTTTACACATTTTCAAATGCCTTAGAAAAATAGTAAACACAGACATATTTACGAAAATTTCAGAATCAGTAGGAAATTTTTAAAGGCTTTTTACCTTGGCTCTGTAATAAAATTAATTTTTTGGACCCTTGTTTTTTCTCCAATTTTTGATAATGTTTAAAACGTCTCCTAGGTCTATTAGTGTTCTCGTAAGACTATATTTTCTTATTCTACACCTTTTAGTTAGTGAATAACAGAAGTTTGAGCCGAATCGGTGATTTGACCAAAATCGCCAATTTTCATGACTATAACTATGGAAACGAAGACCCCAAAATGCCCAGTTCGACAGTTTCTTTTTCGCGTCTTCAGAGTTTTCAGAAAAATAATAGATGCAGCTCACTAAAAAGCTAAAGTGTCCTGTTAAAAACCCGGTGACAATCCAAAGTCGTAACTGTTTCGTCCTTACTTAAATCAAAGGAAATTCTTTGATTTTACTTCGAGTGCCTTAGACTATTGGAGGATACCCATTCCAGTGCACGGATGGAGTCTTCCAGGTTCTTGAGCTCTGCTTTAAGTTGGTTTGGTTTGGTTTGGAGTTAGTGGAGTGATCGTTCCTTTTCTAGATAGATCATTTGCTGCTTCATTGCCTTCTATCCCAGAGTAGGGGGACTTTATTTTCTTTGCCTAATTTGTTCAGCTTCTCTAGGCATTCTTTAACCAACTTTGAATTGATGTAGGGAATGCAATCCCGCAAATGCGGGATCCCTCTGAGATTCTGCGGGATCAAAGTTGCGGGATTTACCGTGCGGGATCCGCGGGATCGACCCATTACTACTGGGTAACCGAATCGATATCGATCAGGGTCAAACCGTTTCGTTCCGGGCCGATGCGTCGACGGTCGGAACCCGGGGGACCCCTTACGGCTTGGGCATTAAAAATAAGTGAAACAAACAGGTTACTTGTTAGATTTCTTTCTGGCGTATGTGCGTAAGTGAAGAAAAGCGTTTAACTAGAACTTGTAGACAATTTCGTCAAATAAACTGCCGGACATATGTAATTATCGGGACAAGCAAAATTTTATTGTAAATTTAAAGTTGAATAGGTATCTCTTGAACTAAAAAAGATTTTGGGATGCGGTTTGGACCAGGTTTTAGATGCATCTATTGTGATTAAGATGCTATATGGTTTTCGAAAATATATTTAGCAAATTCTCGTATACAGGGTGTTTTATAAGAGTGTGAAAATTTGGTCAAGAATCTTTTTTACGGCAAATTTAGAATTTTTTAAAAATCGAAATTTTTACCAAGTACGACTAATCTGTATTGAAATTAGAAAAAACAATTTGATAGGTTTTTTATTTTTTTAAGGAAAATACGACGTTTTTTTTTAAAAATTTGCATTTTTAGTCATACGTATGGTCCTTAATGGTACAAAAAGCTTTGTACATTCTGCATATTCTGCCAAAAAATTATTGATATAGAGTGTATCTAAAAGCCGATAACTAACACAAGTTAAAAAAAAACTTTAACATCAGAATAATATTTTTATTTATAAAATAAGCAGATAAATTATAATAAAATTTAAGTTTATTTAATATTAAATATATTTTTTGAACACCCTGTATACATCGGTCCAAATTTCTGTACAGCTACCAATTTGCTTTTGTACCATTTAGGACCAAATGTATATATCGTTTACGGTCCCGTATATCGACTATCGTTTACGGTCCCGCACTTTTGCGGATCCGCGGGATTGACTGCTTTAATCCCGAGGATTTGCGGGATTGAGATTTTGGTGCGGGATTGCATTCCCTAAATTGATGGCTATTTCTGGTTTCCGACAGTTAGATTCCCTGCTTACTTATTCCATTAAAAAGCTCAAGTATTATGTTTTTTTTTGATAAATTAATGGTGTTTCCAATTGTTATAAATCTTTTTGAAAATATTAAAACACTTTTTTACTACTCTATCTGTGGTTAATCACCAGTATGGATAAATTTATTGAAATAGGGACCCTGGTATTACGTAGCAGCTCCTGTTTTATTGGAGATTTTTTTTAATAAGAGGAGAGATTATCGTCTATCGTTCCTTTTTCTGATTAAATACTAATACGACGGTCTTCAGTCCAATAACTCACCTCCTGCTAGAGCCACGGAGTTGCTCTATTCCCTGCTTACGGATCTGGTGCTGCAACTCTCTCCGTGAACGGCCGTTTCGGCGCGAAGTTAGTGTTTGAACAACTCCGAGCTGGTCAGGTATCAGGCTGGCGCGTTCCTCCAGAGCCCTCCACTTCGACAAAATTCGAATCGTTCCCGCTGCAGATCCGATATTTTGATTTCGTCCGCCGCACAATACGGTTATTCCCATCAAATTTGCGCCTCTCAGAGATCGAACCTATGACTTTCGGGACTATTGGCCGTCTTTGAAAAGTTTTTTCGAAGCGTTTTTTTTCCGAGTTGTGACAGTTTCTGGTTTTCGGCGCTCTTGTGCATCGGCTAGTGTGTCAAAAAAGCCGCCAAACTGAATAAGTAGGTTTTTACTTTTAAATTTTATTGTTGGTTAAATTGGAAATATAAACTTTTTTGTTTTATTTATTTACGATTTTTTTTATTTAATATTTTAGATTTAGTGTTTAAATAAACGCTTCATTGAAGAAATATAAAGTTTGCGCTCAATTAAATTTCCTGATTGCTGTATGTAATTTATTTTATTCATTCTATTAGTGGCATAAATTTGAAATATATATTTGCTCTCTCCGATATTTTTTTTGTAGTAAAAATATATTTGTTATATTCTAATATAACTTGTGTTTATTAAAGAAATAGTGCATAATTTTTTTACCTAATTTTAAAGAAAATATCTAATTTAAAGTATATTTATTTTTATTTAACTTGGTGTATTATGGTATTAATTTCGATTTTTTATTATAGCACTGATTTGAAATTTGTATTTGTTGTATTAGGGGTTAAATTTTAATATGTATATAGGTAATTCTGTTGTGCATTTAAAGTTTGGGTTCACTAAACTGAAAAATATGCATTAATTGGTTGTTATTTAAGAAATATACATAAAAAATGTCAAAAATAGTCTAAAGCGCCGTCTACACATAACGTTATACCTGTCAGGTAAGAAGGATTCAAATTTATTAGCGTATACACTAGCATTTTTTTCCTGCGGTTTTATCAATTACAGCGTTTTGTTTAGTGAAGTTAAAAAGAAATAACTTGGTATTTCACTAAACAATTATTGTACTTACATATGGTAAAAAATTTAATTTCTAAACACCCAAAACTAGTTGTGAAAATAATATCGTTTGGTAATAATCATTAAATATCTCTAAATAATGTTGTAAAATACATAATTTTGTGAGACTATGCAAAAACATTAGATTTTTAAAATTCGCTTAATAAAGATGCTATAATATTCCTTATTATTTTTTTAAGTTTACTTATATTTTTTCAGCGCAGGCAAAACGACAGTTTTGTTGTAAAACTGACTTATTTCGTCAGTTCTCTAGACGATCTTCAAGTTTAATTCGGTTCTACACACAAGATACAAACACTTGATACGTTTTAACTGAACAGGTAAGACTGACAGGGAAAACGTTACGTATAGGCCGGACTTTATATTACGGTTTTATTTAATACATTTGATTGAGCGTTTATTTTTAATAACTGTATTTTCTTATTAAAAAAAAACTTACTAATTTTTTCGCATATTTTAAAATATATAGAATGAAAAGTTATAGGACTCCAAGTTTTACCACGACAAAGAGTAATGACGCAGTAAAAGTTTTTAAGTTTATTTTCATTAACGTGAGAAATTTTGATTATATAAGAATACAGGGGAAGGGTTATGAAATAGGGGATGTTTGTGGACTTATAAAACACTTATATAACTTGTATAACATTTTCTAATTAATTTTGAACTTCTCTTAAATTCTTGGAAAGAAAGGTTAGATATCAATTTTAAGTCTCAAGTATTAAGATCTTTTCTTTTATATAAAGCAAAGCGAGCGTTAATGAAATCAATAAAACTCTGAGTAAATTCTAGATAACGGCGAGAAAATCTTAAATTAACAGAGATACCTAAATTTGATTTATCTACAGTCAATCGATAAAGATCATGGTTACTTAATTAATTTTAGTTTGATAGTTTTTGACATTATTAATCTCGAGCAGCTTCCTGCATACTCACTTTCTTAAATTAATTATTTTCTTTAATCCTTGTTAAACGACTTATCATTATTTAATTGATGATAGTATACGGAGAGCTAGATTAATAGAAAAATAGTTTCTATGGAATTTTAAGCAAGAAGAAAATTCAGGAGATTAATAATAATACATAAAAGAGCCGTTTGTCTTTCTGAGATCAATCTTTATTATGAAAAAGTGTTTGAGATTTATTATGGTCACACAGAAACGCTTTATTCTGCTGCAGATGCACAGATGCAAAATTCTTCTTGACTTTTCTGTCTGATATTCTAAAATCTTTTATTTGAAAACTTTCGATAAAATATGACATAATTTCATAATTTTTTACCTTAATACATTTTTGGTTATTGAGTTTCTTCGATTTGAATACTTGAATTAATATTTTTTTATTATTTAAGTAAATGTCAAAAGCAGCCTTACATTATTATTTTCCTAAGAATTTTAATCTATGTTTTCTAAAAGTTTAGACTAATTAAAAAGAAGTATTGCCCATTGAAAGTTATGATTAATTTTAATGAAAAATATCAAACTTAAATTACTTTATTAATAATATGTATATACTTGGTCTTTAATATAATTGATTATGTTGTAAAAAAACTGTTTTGCGTGTATACAGTTTTATTTCATATATTTAAATGTATGAAGTATCACTCATAAAAAATATTAGAATTATATTATAAATAATTGAAAACATAGCAAAATAAATATAAATTAACTTGTTTTATGCAAAGTCACGTTTTACCTGTCAGTTTTGGATGTCTCAGTTAAAACTAAATATTATATAGAGAGGAAACGGACGTTAGTTCTGTAGATAAAGATATTATTTAATTTCTTTGATATATCTGAATACATTTAACAAAGTTTTTTTCATAAAAAATAGCGGAATTATGTAAATATTAATTTAAAACATGGCAAAGTCAATTTAATCCAGCTTGTTTTATGCGAAACAAAGTCTGTGGTACAAAAAAAGTTTGAATCGTTTTATATAAAAATGGAGTAAATTTCCCGAAAACTTTCGATGTGCGGTTTTAGCTACGATTCGTGAATTTAAATTAAACAGGGTCAAGGAGTCCCTCGCTGTGGTGACCCTTTTTCCAGCTATGATATATTTTAATTTAATACATCCCACGAAACGTGTAGAACACACGAAAAAATTTAACATATCTTTCGCTGTTCCGTTTTTATGACAATTTCTATAACAGATACGCATCTGTGTTCATTAGTTATTGATATTTTCATTATAATCACGAACTATTTTTTCTTAAGGGACGCTATATGAATTTTGAAAGAAAAAACCGCAAAGATTAAGCGATGGTTTTAAATCTGGCAACAAAAATTTTCATTTGAATTGAAAAGACATGGCTTTGTCTAAATGAGCGAAACCGCCACGATCGCTTAAATGAAAATTCGCCAAAAGAAGTTCATTTATTTTTGAAATCGTCGCTGCTTTTGGATTTTGGGGTAATATAATCCCCCCAATAATGGGCCCCGGCACAAAAAGAGGCGCCCTTGATAAAAAAGAAGAAGGACAACGAAATTGTTTCATCTCGTCTTTTAAAGCAGCAGTACAATGTCAAGAGACAGACTACAATTATTGTCTGAAATTTCAATAAACGCCAAGAAATTCTTTTCACGACAAACTTCATGGCTATTTTGCCAAGTGACTGTTTTATTCCTTTTTTTTACGATATAAAAGATGAACGAATGTCAAGTTATATAATATTCTATTCTACGAAGTCCTTACAAGTTCTAAGACAATGACAATTTGTAGAATTTCAATTTGAATTTATAAATGCTTTTCGCAGATTTTACTTAAAGCGACAATGATCTATTTAGTTTTAAATTTTGTAATATTAATTCAATATAATTACATTGCAAAGACTTTTGTAAAACGTCATAGTTATTTCTGTCGACTAGATTGATTTTGTTTTCAAATAGGATACCCTGTACATTACTTACAAGTTTGTTAGATAGATTTTTTTTATTTACATACATATATCTGTATCTCTACTATACAATGCAGAGTACAATAATAACAGTACCTACTTCGTACTTCTTATTACTTTATATTTTTGAATAAAATATTTGGGTTTTCTTAAAGTATTTTAGATTTATTTTCGAAATCCAGAAAAACATTCTAACATTATGTTTGTGTTTTTTTCTCAGAAAAGACTCTTTATAAATGAGGATACTTTTACTATCTGCAAGATCGATTAATCAAACGTTACCAGAAAAATATATGATAGATAATAAGTAAAAAGAACAAAATGCCCAGGAACCTCGAAGAAAAATACTTGCAAATAAAAGAAAATATTTTTTCCCAGTTACCCACAAAACTTGGGAAAACCTTTTCATAATTTCGAACATCTTTTAGCAATAAATAAAAATACAAAAGTTCTACAAATATCTTTAGTCAAAAGATCCTGGCATAGTTATTAAATTTAGGTAGACAATATGTTAATTTAAGTAATTTTGTTTAGACTTGGCTTTATGTAAAAATCTCACATAAGTGAACATAACTAGCATTTGTGTAGTTTCTTTTAGGAAATTTGAAAAAGCAATTTTTTGCAAATATTTTCAGGGTTGGTAGATCTCGATAAAAAAAAACGATTTTCTCTTTACCGCAAATAAGTCCAAAATAACCCATAAAAATATATATGATAAATCATCATAAATGACCCATCATAAATGACCCAAATGCAAAATATTTTCATGGTGTCTGTCTGTCTGTCCGTCTGTCTGTAACACGATAACTCAAAAACCGCTAAACCGATTATAACCAAATTTGGTACAAAAGGCACAAAAATACTCTGGCACCCGAGAATCTGGCCATTAGTTTTTGGTGGGGGGTGGCGGGTTGGTAAGGGGGTATGGGAGGGGGTTAAAAATTTTAAAAAATCGTAACTCCAAAATTACCGTAGCTAGCGAAACTAAAATTTTTTTTTTAAAATTTCAAATTTTCAAAATTTTTTAAACTTTTTAAAATCTCATAATCATGTTTTCTGGGTTCGAAATATACTATCCCCAAAAATATTTGCATTTATTTAAGACTCACTCCGTATATCTGTCTAAATGTTTAAAAACAAGCGAAGAATTAAAAATAAACTAATGTTTTCACTAGGAAAACTAATGCTTAACTAGTGCTCATGTAATGTGTGCTTATTAAGTCAATTCTAATGTTTGTATCTATATTCTTTCATCGTAATAACTTGAAACTGACTCTCCAAAAACAAATATGGTAGTAGAGAGAAAATTCAAGCTTTGAGATTTCTCTGCGTTCGACGATATTTTAAAATTGATAGAAAACTTGTATC